TACAAATTAGCTAAATACCACTCTACAAAATCATCAAAGAACATATGCAAACGTGAAAGCACATCATACATACATACATCATGTCAAAAACATATTCTCGCAACTCATGAGTCAAAATAGTATGATATTAAACTTACTAACACAAGTCATTAACCAAAGAAATTCTTAAACATACTTAGAGTTGCCACATGGAACGCTAATGGCCTGCTAAACCATAAGCAAGAAGTAATTACTTTTTAAACTTGAATAAAATTGACGTTCTGCTTATTTCAGAAACTCACTTTACCGATCTAACTACATTCAATATTCCGCTCTATATCACATACAGCACACCTCATCCCGAAGGTACAGCTATGGTGGCTCGGCAGTAATCATCCGTAGCTGCATATCACATCATGTATTGCCGAAATATGCAACAGAAAAAATACAAGCAGCAATCGTTCAAGTAAATGTAACGCTATGGCACTTTAACATAATATCTGCAATGTATAGCCCACCTCGTCACGCAATCTCCACAGATGAATACAAAGCCTTCTTCCAATTACTTGGCAGCAAATTCGTAGTCGGGGGAGATTGGAATGCGAAACACATACACTGAGGGTCAAGACTTACAACAACAAAAGGTCGTAATCTTCTAAAGGCAATGAACGACAACTATGATTGCCACCATAGGAATTCCTACGTACTGGCCGAGTGACCCCAGAAAACTTCCAGATCTGCCGAACTACTTCCTAAGCAAAGAACTGTCCAGAAACAACTGTCTAATAGAATCCAGCTATGATCTCTCATCGGATCATACACCGGTTATTATGAGCCTGAGTACTACAGCTATAAACAGCCCACCACCTCCTCCACTCACGTCAAAAAGCACCAACTGGGCAGATTTTCAATCCTACCTAGAAGAAAACACCAATCTTAATCTGATCATCAAATCTTACACATGACATAGATACAGCAGCTCAATACTTCACCATACTTATGCAAAAAGCGGCATCTCAATCTATCGAGAACTTGGCAAAGATCTAGAAACAACATAGACCTACATATATTCAATAACTACATAGACAACTTCCTCGCAAGACCATTACTTTGCTAACAGTTATATTTAACCGCATGCTAAGCTTATCATACTTTCCAAAAATATGGAAATTTGCTGAAGTCATTATGATCCTCAAGCCAGAAAAAGAGCTCAATGAAGTAACATCTTATCGACCCATCAGCCTACTCCCAACTGTAAGCAAAGTTTTTGAAAAATTGCGCTACAAAGGATATATGCAGATCACGAATTCCCAACATTACTTCCAAAACATCAGTTTGGTTTTCGGGAAAATCACTCCACTACCCAACAAGTTTATCGAATGATAAATGAAATATCAAAAAGTCTTGAAGAAAAGAAATACTGTAACGCTATATTTCTATTCATCTCACAAGCGTTTGACAAAGTCTGACACAGAGGTCTGCTTTACAAAGTAAAAATAGCACTATCCAGTAACTATTTCCTATTACATATCAAATAGATATTTCTCTGTAAAATTCAAAGACCAACAATCCAACGTTTGTCCTATCAACTCCGGAGTCCTGCAGGGTAGTGTTCTAGAGCAGCTGATTTTCTCACTTTACACAGCCGATATACCAGAGACTAACAATACTACAATCGCTTCCTTTGCTGACGACGTAGCAATACTAGCTGTAAGTGAAGATCCATACAAGCCTCGCAAAAACCTGCAACATCATCGAAACATACTCAGTGATTGGTATACAAAATGGAGAACAAAAGTAAATAAAACAAAATCAACTCAAATAACATTTACCAACCGTCACAACGTATGCCCACCTGTAAGGATGGAAAATGTAAGAATACTATACTGTTTTTTAACCAGGAGGAGTAAACCAAAAAGACAGATTCACACTCAAGAAAGTTAGTAGAAAAGTCACCAAATACATCTTCTTTTTTTGTTGGTTATCTCGGCCTTGCGGTAATCGAGTAATCAATATTGGACAACCTCACACGTCAATTTTAACCTAACTTTGTTTATGTTTGAATAATAAAATAATTTTTTTCAATTCACTTCCAATATATATATATTACAATAAAAAAAGGACGTTTTTCACATTTGGTCCCATGTATATATATTTAAATATCGGGTGATCCAGTTTTATAGATCTCTTAAGTCTATGGTATTTAATTATAATTTAGAGAATATTTAGATCGGTAGAGTCAATAATGTTACAGATCTAAGTATGGTTTTTCTCAGAAATTTGTCTTTTAATAGTAGACCATATTCTTATTCTGGTATGATCAATTTCTTGAATCTAGTTTTTTTTTCTTACCAGATACTTTGTATAAATAAGTAGTGTACTTACAATTTCTTTAATGCTGGATTCTTGTTTAATTTTGACAGTGAGTTTGTCCCATTTTGTTATCAACAAATAAAATTTACTAAAAAATACTGGATTTCTGTGAGATAATCAACAAACCAATCTATTATGTTACATTCTTGCATAATTTTGCAGTTTTCTTGTGTTGATCTACAACCAGGAAGAACAAAATCAACTGTATCATACAATCAAACTAAAACACAACATTACTTTACTAATGTTCTTTTATTGTGATGAAAACAAAATGGAAATGCTTCTTAACAAGTATACACTAAATTTAAAAGATAGTTGCCGTTTTTCTTATGATAATTAGATATAAATAACATACATTTATAAATTTATAAACACTTTAAACTATATTTAGTATAAATATCATCTAGAAAAATATCACATTAAATACTATTCGCATATCACCAAGTCCAAGTTATTACAAACAACTTAAAGAGTCAGAAATCAATTTATATATTAGGGGAAATAATAATAATAATAAATAAATTTCACAAATGTCATTAGTGTCAATATGTCATAATTTAGTGGAGTAAACTTGCCTGCGGTTGGGCCAATTGCAAATAAGCATTACAGCGCAGAAAATTTGAATTACTCCTCCTGGTTAAAAAACAGACCATAACAGTAACAGATGATAAATACCTTGGCCTCCATCTTGGCCAACGTCTCACTCGGAAGAAACATATCCAGACCAAAAGAAGTCAGCTCGACTTAAAATTCCGGCAAATGTATTGGCTTCTTGGACGTAAACTTAACATCCAAAACAAAATTCTTCTATACAAAGCCATACTCAAACCTATCTGATTCTACGGACTACACCTATGGGGCTGTGCAAAGCCAACGTCGCTGAATAATATCCGAAGATTTCAGTCTTAAGTGCTAAGATCGATAGTGGATGCACCATGGTACGTAAGTAATCAAACACTTCACTACGACTTAATGATTCCTTTCATCGAGCCACGGAGTCACAAAATGAACGTACCATTTACCATGAAAATGAGTTAGTAAGTGAATTATTCAAAAATGGTCCAGCCACAAGAAGACTAGATAGAACCTGGCCCCAAGACCTACTTCAAAACAAAACCAAAATAGAATAAGGTGAGGCATAATTGGATGTCTCTCCTTCACGCGCAAAACCTGTAACACATTTACTTAATACTCTGTAATGATGTAGATTGTAAATAAACATAATTATAAAAAAAAATCTTCCTACCACTGAGTTTTGAACATAGGCGCGCGCTTATTGTAAAATTGTCTACTACTTTTAGTGTATAACCTATTTTTTCTTCGTATAGATTTCATTTTTGTATGTCTTTTTGGTTTGTTTTATATTGTTTTCATATTTCCGCTTTGTTTTTCTTAGTTGTCTATAATATTTTTTGCGTAATTGATTTTCTTGATTTATTTGTGTCCGAGATGGAATAAAATACCGTTTAAAAAATTACCTTTATTAAAATTTAACAAATATAAAGCGTAATTCAACAATTGTAATTAACAGATTTAAGGAACATTATATCGTATATTATTATGAAAATAAATACCGGTTTGTACAAGTATATTAAAAAAGACGATTTAATAGGAATATGCCTTTTTACAATATTATTTATTTGTACCTTTTGACATAACCCGTTTATTATGCAATTAAAAAGTATTAAATACATTTTGTTATGAAATAAAATATAATTAGCACGTCGTTTAGACAGTTACTACAGCAACCATTTTGAAACAAATTTGAATAATTAATTTATTAATTAACTGTTAACTTAGTTAACATAACATAATTAACATAAACATAATTTAATTCTTAATAATAGCCGGAATTTTTTTCCTAAAATTTTCAACAGATCCCCTTCCGTTGATTTCTTCTTCTAAAGCCGTCTCCAATAAATGGTATTGATCATCAGTACATGCAAAGTTCGCGATGTTTTTGTTAACTTGTAAGAATTTCCAGTTGCTTTTATGAGTATTTAAAACTTCTTTAATGGTCGCTCGCGTCTCCGCTCCTATCTTCTCATCAAATCTTGGAACTGGTAAAGGATCACCTACAACAAAGGGTGTGAATGGTACTCTTATTTCCAAGTTTTCATGTTTTACTTTTGGATAAAATTTCTATTCAACTTCGTTTTGGTATTTTGTCATATATTATTTATAATTATATATTTAAGATGCTATATTTATAGACCACATGCTATTTAGTCACTGGTAAATTCAACTTACCTAGAAGTGCTTTAACACACATAGTCATGGAAAGAGCAGTACTCTCAAGGTGATATCCTCCTTCCAGGAGTATTAGCTGTTTTCCGCAAGCTAGAGGTTTGAGTGTTTGAATAAACTGTCCGTACATTTCAGGACTAACTTTATAGCCATTTCCCAAGGGATCAAAATATGCGGCATCAAATCCAGCTGATACAATTACAAATTGTGGATCGTATGAGTAGGCCAAAGGAAGTACTAGTTTATGCCACACAGCCCAATAGTCGACATCGGTCTTATTCCCCTAAAAAAAACAATGTTTTGGTAAAAGTGATTCATCTTAAAATACATGTTGTAGAATAACTACACTCTGGGTCAAAATTAACCGACCACCTTAAAAATGGATAATTTTTGATTTCTTATATCTCCTAAACCTGTTGTCCGATTTAAGTGATTTTTTCAATATGTTATAGCCTTATTCCTTGACAATATCGCTATAATAATATGGTTGCTAAACAGACAAATTTTCATTGTATACCGGGTGTACGAATTAAACTGTGTTTTTTTCCTTAAAGTTTGCATCACCCTGTGGAATATTCTAGCATTTATAAAATATTGAAATTAAAACCTAACTATAGCCTCATGTTTTCTCAACATTTTGTTTTTTGATTCATTCGCTTATGTTATATAATACAAAAGTTAGGTAGTTTAACAACTAGCCATGTTTTTTATAATACAGACGATTTAACTCACCAGCAAAATTAACCCCACCACCTTTATTATTGTTTTGTTTACATTACCTGTGACAGTTTGTTTCCTAAATTTGTGTCATCGAAGGATTTTTGACATATAGTCGTGGTACGAGAGTGTTGCAAATCTGTTTCCGTGTCAATAACAATTCTTGAACAATTTGTAAGTAAAATTAAATTTGTAATTAACATTAACATTGAAATTTTAGTGCTTATTGTTTGTGATTTTAAAAATCCCACTCGTTCCAACTGATGCCGCTAGGGCAGCGAGAGAGTCTCTTCTTGAGGTGAGAAACGTTAGTATGAGTAGACAAACGATTAGAAGAAGACTGTCAGAAATAAACTTGAGGGCTTTTCGTCCAGCTTGCGCACCATAACTGCTCCCACAACACCGTAGGGCTAGACTTAATTTTGCGCGAGAATATGCTAACTGGACTGTGGCGGAATGGAAGAATATACTGTTCTCAGATGAGAGCAGAATAGCCCTAAAAGGTCCAGATGGACGCCAACGTGTCTATAGGCATCAAAATGAAAGGTTTGCTGCATGCGCTATAACCGAAACAGTGGCTTACCGAGGAGGGTCAATAATGATTTGGGGTATTTCTTACGAAGCGCGTACTGATCTTGTTGTGTTCGGTAGAGGCAGTGTGAATGCCCAAGCATACATGCAAGAAGTTCTCCAAGACCATGTCATGCCTTTTGCACCATTCATTGGTGATAAGTTCAGACTAATGCATGGCAATGCACGTTGCCATACAGCAAGATCTACCCGTGATTACCGGGGGATTCACGGTCGGGGAGGTCGGGATTCAAGTTCTACCATGGCTAGCACACAGTCCCGATCTTAACCCAATTGAGCATATCTGGGACAACCTCAAAAGACGGGTAAGAGCAAGAGTACCAGCCCCTGCATCATTTGAAGAGCTGACGACAGCTGCGGTAGAGGAGTGGCACAATATCCCTCAATCTGATATCCAGGATATCATGAATAGACTCCCAAACCGGCTCCAAGAAGTCCGAAGGCTAGAGGCGGCAACACCCATTATTGACACCCAATTTTTTTTTCAATTAGACTTTGATTTCCAAAATATTGTTAATTTAAATTTTCTTCGAAGATTTTATGCATTGGATTTTTACTGTAACAAATGACTTTTTCAAAAAGATTATTTTTCTCTTCCGCGGAGATAAAAATTGATAAAAAAACATGTCTAGTTGTTAAAGCACCTAACTTTTGTATTATCCAACATAAGCGAATCAATCAAAAAACAAAATGTTGAGAAAGCATGAGGCTATAGTTATGACTTAATTTCAGTATTCTACAAATGCTAGAATATTCCACAGGGTGATGCAAACTTTAAGAAAAAAACACAGTTTGATTCGTACACCCGGTATACAATGAAAATTTACCTGTTTAGCAACAATATTATTATAAAGATATTGTCAAGGAATAAGGCTATAACATATTAAAAAAATCACTTAAATCGGACAACAGGTTTAGGAGATATAAGAAATCAAAAATTACCCATTTTTAAGGTGGCGGTTTCATTTTGGCCCAGAGTGTATGTTTCACACATATCGTCATATCCCAGCGAAAAGTCATAATTGAAATTTGGTAAAAAAGTCATTAACTGCGCCGAGTGAAGGAAATTTATTACATCTTTTTATTGTAAAAGTCACTGCTTTACTGAATGTGTTACTAAATAGCTACTTTGTGTGTTAAAAAATCATTAACCCGTTAATACAGGAAATATTAAGCAGCCAAAACTACCTCAGTAACTTAGTAACTTATTACATACCGATAAATTGTAGATATATGCGTTAAAACTGATTAATGGCACGTAGTGATTTTTTGCAAAATAAAATTACTGCTGTGTTTGATTTCACATTTCTTTTTCTCAGTTTGAACACGTGTTTAATTATTTCGCTAAAAAATTAATCCTGGGTGACGTTTCTTGTTAGATATTGTTATACTAACTGATTGTTGGAGTTTAATAGTTAAAAATATGAGTTCCTGATCCGTAAAACTGGTACAACTGGCCTTGAACAGAAAAAGGTATTTATTAGGTGTATCAATTTTAGGATTCTATGAATGAAGGACTATAAAAGTCCTTTTGTAAGAAAATGGTGCAATCTGATATAGTTTTAGATGACAATATATCCATGATTTCAAATGAAACGGATGTATGTACGTGAGAAGTGTGTTTATATTAATTTGACAAGTAATCATAATATGTTGACATGCAGCAACATGTTGCCGTCAGTGCAAAATACGGAAAAGGAAGTATGTAAAACACTTATATTTAGGTCGAAGTCCCATTTTTATTCAAACCACACAATCTCACAGAGTACTCGATCGTACTCATTTTCAAGATCAGTAAACCATATAAAATAATATTTCTACTTTTAAAATGGCAAGTTTCTTTGTGTCAAAAGAAAGAGAACCAATTTAAAAAACTATGAACACTTTGAAAAAACTGCTCTAAATTGCTGCAAAAACAAACCATATCTAAGTCAATACATATTTGGATCTACCTTTTTGGAAAATCCGTACTTTTTAAAATTTAAAAGACAGGGTACTAAAACTAATTATAAATATTTAAACTAAATATTTTCTACAGTACAGTAAAATATCTTACCGAATTAAATGGAATGTTAACGTTGTAACCTTCGCCCAAGCCAGTGCCAATGTTGTCAACGTCTCCTTTTTTACAAAATGGGAAAAATTTAGCACTATCAAAGCGATGTATGGAAATATACATTATGTCATTACGTTCAAACGTAAGATCTTGAGTTCCATTTCCATGATGAATGTCGAAGTCAACTATCAATATTCTAAAAATAAATAAATAAATAATATTGAAACTGGATATGCAGGTACATTCTAGTATTAAATGGGTTATTCATGGTTGAATCCGTATCTTTACACTAACCAAGTCTCTTAAGACCCGAATCGATTGCGATCCAAGAACTACGTTTGCTACCTTGGAAGAAAAATAAATTTAAAGGATTTTTGTGTGTATTACGGTTTAAGACCCTTTTTACCTAAATAAATAACCCTTCGAAATATTAAGGGTGTGGTCGGTAACCTTCCAATATATATTTCGTTAGAAGTCTATTTTTAAGACCACAGTTCAATCAGTAAAGATCCAAATGACCCCAATCCCGGATTATTGAGCCGCGATTCTAGTTGATCGGATATTCTAAACGACTTGAATATATTCCGTCAAATATATTCGGTCTTGCATGCGTCCACAATATTTGGTGCAGAAGTGCACCAGTTGTAATGACAAGGCATAAGTTTACGCCTTTATTTTACAAAATAAATATATTCAGCGAGTTCTACCTAGTTCAGAACTGATGCCATAGAGTGATGTTAAGTCACTGTTTAGTCTGTCATGTAAAGTAAATCGCACTCTGCATTAACATCACTCTTTTAAGTGGGAAGTTTGCTTCAGCATTCTGCCTTTCTCTCTCTGAGTTTGTCTTCGGTTCTAGTATCACCCCGTAGTATGAACAAGACACACTTTTAGACAGAACAGACAAGCATTTATTCCTTCTGATTTGCTTTATTTCCAGTGCCTGATTATTCAATAAAATGTACACAACAGGAGTCATCACTCGAGAAACGTTAAAATCGACATTTATATGCCTAGCAAAGAAGGCGAATTCAAAAGAATACAAAGACTGCTGAAAAATTAGTCTTATGTCACACACGTTAAAAACTCTCTAAGAATCATACACACCAGAATACACTTCAAGCCATTGAATGGTTTATTTTGATGATTTTTGCGATATGTGCATCACCAAAAAGTCTATGAGGTCGAAATTATATCGCCTTCTCCATAGACCCTGTTCGTTAACTCCGTCGTACATGGTCCTCAATATTTTTCTTTCAAATATTCGTAGTAACTCTTCTTCACAAGTCGTCATTGCCTATGTTTCCAATCCGTAAGTAAGCATTGGGAGTATTATTGTTTTATAAAGTTTGCACTTGTTGCTCTTAAAATATTTCTCGCTCTTGTGGGGCATAGCCAAAATCTAAAAAGAATAACGAATAAAATTTTAAGATGCAGTGAATAATATGAACTCTCCCTCAACGTTAAAAAAACAAAATTAATGAAAATCTAAGATTTCCTAATTTCCCTGACTTTAATATTTATAAACAACGTCTGAGACCTATAGTATCCTTACAGTAAGACTTTTGTGGTATTCCTTTGAGTAACAGTGACGGTTTTAATTATTACCATTATTACCACAATGTATATTTGTACTTCGAGATATCAATATAAATCACATGCTCATAAAACAAAACACCCGACAAAACGTATATAATTATTGGCATCTCGAATTAAAATAGGCAACACCCTATCATCTGGATTTGTTTTAATGAAAGGGCTACGTCAAGGTTGCTGCTCCAACACTATTCTAAATTGATGGGCCAAATTGTTCTGCAATATAGAGGTTTCAAATTTGATGCTTGCAATGTTGGCAGATTTACTATTTTTCTGATATCATTAGTCACTTCGATTTTTAAATACAACACTCCGTATATGTATATTATCGGAATCCTCACTTTAACATAAGTTCCACCATTTGTAATACTTACTATTCTATCTAGTCACGAAGGTCTTAAACAAATCAAACTTTTCAGTGTCATAAAATTTGACAGTGTGACATTAATTCATAAAACTTATATCTTTATTGAAAAGCTTTGTAAAATAAATTGTATTAATAACTAAAGCTGACAGTTGTTTTTGTGATTTTAAAAGCTCTACAATAAAGATAGATTTAATGAAAAAGAGCGAATTACTGTTTTAATGATGAGGGGCTACAGCGATAAAAAACTATAGTAAAATAGCCAACTTGCTCAACGACACTTTCTCAAACCATTCTACCATCCATAAGGCAGCTGTACAAAAGTTGTAAAGCACTTTAAGGGAAATGGATGAGTAAAATATGACATTCGAACAGATAGACCAAAAATTTAAATAACTAAAGCTAACTCCGGTATAGAAATTAACGTTTTTGAAAGTTGGCATTACCGTGTCAATACCGAGTATTTAAGCTTATTCCACCATTAGGTTTTAGGCGGAAAATATTTGTTTCTCCGATAATTAGCAAACCAATTCCAAGAAAATTCCTAGCCTTTACCAAAAACTTCTTGGAGAACAGAAGTATAAAAGTAAAAACAAACGGCGTCATATCAATTGAATCACATATTTCAGAAACCCCATAACTCCATTTTTATAAAATGTTGAGAAATTAGAAAAAACCTTATTTCATGAAATATTTTTAAAAACCTGTTGTGCTTTTGTAATAAAATCATGAGATTAATGTGTTTTAATCAGTTTGCATAAAAAGTGGTGAATTTTAGCTTTATATTATGTTTTTTTTTCCTTTTTTACTTTTGTGGATTTTTGGGGTTTTTGAAATATACACATTTTTCAAAGATGTAAAAATAAGAAAACAAGTTTTATATAAACATTTATTCAAAAATATGGGCATACAGAATAATATATCAGTAGTAATCACTCATCTGGTTGTATTATTTCATTTGAATCTCCCTCGCATGTTGGCAAATTAAAAATTTCTCCGTAAAAGTCCTTGACTTCTTCATTATCTGGTAGATACTTTTCCAGTTTTCTGAAGTCTTGCATCTTCTTGATATTAATAGGAATATGTCCTTCGGTGTACGCTTTTCTGGTAGGGAAACTAATAACATCCTTGTTGCTATTTCGTAGCCGAAAAGAATGATGTATCAAGCCATCTATGTACTCTTTTGCAATAACAATTCCATCGTGATCACTCGAATGAATAAAGTGTCGAAAGTTGGATATTTTAAAAGCAATTTTTTGATCTCTTGGGATATTTCTGCCCAAAGATTCATTGGAGAGCATTGTCTTTTTAAAATACGTGGGCCACCATCCTTTAAAGTTCAATATGTCATCAGAATTCGGCAAAACTACAGTAAATCGGTTTAAACTCTTGTTAGATGTTATGATAAGCTCTACATACTCTTTTAAGGTATAAATCCTTTCTGATTTTTTAATTTTCCTTTTAAGAACGGAAAAATCCCGATCACACGGTAGAAATGAATGTCCCCGTGTGGGATAATATTGTTCAATCTTTTTGAATCTATTGGTTGAAACTAATGCAGAAAAAAGTCTAACTATTGTATGGTTCTTGTTCTGGGCGGCACATGCATCAGAAAAGAAGTGAAAATGGTTAATATTTTTAAATTCTGAATTGTTGTCAAGAAAATGTAATAAAAATGATACAACTTCATTAGGCCCTTTAGTTCCTGTTCCCTCATGATACACATAGAATGTTACCTTATCATCTTTCAGATTATGAATACATAAAACATTAACAGTAAGTTGTCTTAAATAGAATGTTTCCTGGACAGGAATAACTGGTAGTTGCAGGTTTTGCATATAATCAATGCAAATACCACCTACATTCTCATCTACTTTACAAAGTTCTGAAATGGTTTTAAGTTTGTTATAAAATTTGTTTGCCCGTTTCTTATGAACCATTTTTTCTGCCAGTGCCACTCTTTTTGCTGTTTCATTTAAGAATTTACTTTTTATTTTAGTTTCTAACTCTTCACATGTAGAGCAGGTGTCGACTTGTGGGCGACCGAAAGATAATGAAAATTGTTCTTTAAAAATCTTTTGATAATATGAATATTTAACGTTTTGTTCTGGGTGAACCTCTTTAAACAACTTATACATTATAAAAATATTTAATTTTTCATTTAGATACCTATATTCTCTACTAGTATAATGGGCCGTTTTGACCGGAAACGAAGCAATATGTTGTATGATTGAATCTATAACAAGTCCTGACTTCGCATTGCCAGATTTATTTTTACCTCGTTTATCTATAGGAACTTGCCCCTCTCGTCTTAACGTGGTTAAGCGACGCAACCGATCATTAGTAATGCCAAAAATGGCAATAAAAGCTTTTCTACAGATTTTATTTGTACCTGTTGGTACCTGAATTGTATATTTAAAAGAAGCTAGTCTATCAGCTGTGATCATAGCAACGAGTATAGAGGATCTACAACATCTTATCGAAAGCTTGAGTATAAATAGTGCTGAGATGGGAATTACTATAAACGCCAAAAAAACGAAGTACATGCTGATTACAAAAAGGCCACAAAATATACATCACCTATTGACAATAAATGGTAACGTGATAGAACAAGTAGAAAAATATCAGTATTTGGGAACTTTGATCAATGAAACCAATGATCATACTGTAGAAATAAACAGACGAATAGAGATTGCCAGATCAGCATTTATACGAATGAAGCCACTCCTAACGTGCAAAAATCTAAATTTGGAGATCAGACTACGTACCATTCGCTGTTATATATTTTCAATATTATTATATGGAGCTGAGACTTGGACATTAAAAAAATGTAATTTAAAAAGAATCCAGGCCTTCGAACTCTGGTTATACCGCAGAGTATTGAAAATATCATGGACTGATAGAATTACAAATAAAGAAGTACTGGAGAGGGTTGGTAAAGAAACAGAACTAATCACCACTATACAAACCAGAAAACTGGAATACCTAGGCCACGTGATGAGGGGACCAAAATATGAAATTTTGAGACTGATAATACAGGGAAAGATTCAAGGAAGAAGATCTGTTGGCCGAAGGCAGAACTCATGGTTAAAGAATCTACGTGATTGGTACCAATGCAGATCGATTGATTTGTTTAGAGCAGCAAGTTCTAAAATAAGAATAGCCATTATGATTGCCAACCTCCGTAGGGAGACGGCACTCTAAGAAGAAGTCTATCAGGCTTGCAAGAAATATCAGCTGGTTTTTTGCGCCTTCGACGTGCAACTTCATGGACTGAAATAAGCGATTGTAGCAAACAATCTTGTTCGTTCTTGGTGTTAAGGCTCCTGAAGTTTCGGAATAATTGAATGCGTGCTTCTTCAGAAATTTGTAAAAAGCATTTTTGGCGACATCTAAAAATAAGTATCATTCAAATTACGATAATAAAATATTAGATATTGTCTAGCTAGTTAGTAATATTTTAAAGTTTTAAGGCTTACTTGCAGTCTGGTCCTTGGTTCACTTCAGGCGCCAAGACACCACTCCAGCGTTTATAGGCAGACCCTTTAACTCTAGAGTTTTTAATAACTTCTCTTTTATATTCACTGATATTACGTATTCCACGCTTTTTTTTTGCGCGTTGAAGACTGATTTTCAATTTCCATTACTTAAATTATTATTAATTTTTACTGTAATAACAACTAACCATATGTAGAGATCACAAATAAATAATGTGCATAACCTCAAAAACAAAAACCTGTCATGTCAAAAATCAGTGTGTTCAAATATTATATTTTAGAAACACCAAAATTCCTGGAGTTTTGGTGTTTCTGCAATACATGAAATTTTCATCTGGCAACAAATGTATGTAAATTTAGTGAGTTTTGGGGTTTCTGTTTACTGTTAAGTGCGTATACCTATATACTACCAAAAAATTACAGAAAACTGTAATTTCATAAATTTGTGATTTTTGGGGTTTCTGAAATACGTGATTCAATTACAAAATCATTGAAAAATGGCATCCCTCAAGGATCTGTATTAAGCCCCTGTTGTTTTTAATAGCAATAAATAACGTCTCTAATAATTTTTTGCTTTCAGTAAAAGCAAATGTTTACGCGGATGATCTTGTAATATATATGAGAAGTAAAAACCTAAAATCAGCTGCATCAATACTACAAATTACATTAAATAAATTAGAAGGGGGGTCATTAGATATAGGCTTGAGGTTTTCAATCGAAGAAACTAAAGTAATAATATTTGCAAAAAGAAAACCTAACACCACTTAAATTTAAAACTTAACGGACACATTGTTAGAACAATTAACGAAATCAAATTCTTGGGAATGACATTCGACTCTCAACTCAAATGGACATCGCACATAAATAACCTAATTAAATCATGCCAACAGAGAATAAACCTTTTAAAAGTCCTTTCTAATCACAAATGAAAACAAAATTTTTCATTGTGTTGTGCAATTAAATATCTCAGTTCAAATGAAACCCATTCTATTAAGAATTACAAGTAGGACTTAATATGTTATAGATAGTAATATATTAAAATAAATAACCATTTAGAGAAACACGCAACCCTTGCAGCGTTGTTGATCAATGAGCTGCAGGCGGATAAAATTAGTGTTTCTACAAGTAAAACATGCTTGAGTAGAATATTAAAAGATTTGAGCTTCAACTTTAAAAAAGATGATCATCGAAGAACTTTAATTGAAAGAACTCATATCGCAGCACAACAAGCGTGTTTCTTACGTAAATACATGGAAAACAGAATACTACATATCTACGAGAAGTTGTATTTATTTGTAGACGAAACGTGGATTTTTCTAGGAGAAATAAAATGATGCCGTGGCACGATGACAACAGCAGAAGTATAAGTAAACCAGGTGACAGAAAAATAGTTATTGTGGTTCTTTCTTGTGAAAGGTTTTGTTTCAGACGCCAGTTTGTTATTTTGTTCCAAATCCTTGACTGCAGTTTATCAAGGTGAAATGAATAGTACAATATTTACTAAATGGATAAGTACACAATTACTTCCTAATTTAGAAAAACCCATCTTTGATTGCCATGGACAACGCACCCTACTATATTGTAGATAGACTAATCTATATTGTAGATGAATCGATACGTGAACATGGACACGAAGTGCTTAGATTGCCACCGTGTCACCCAGATTTTAATGCTATCGAATTAGTATTCGCAGATTGCAAGACTAAGGCCGTCCGCACATGGGTCGACTCGATTTCAATCGCGTAGGTCTTTCGGCGCACGGGAAAATTCGAGTGAAACGCACGTTTTCAGTCATGGAGGTAAGATTATTTCATTTGCTTCCTTCGTTTTTTATCGTTTTTTGCCCTAAAATAAATTTTAGGTAGTTTTTTTAAGATCGGCGAATATTACGTTCGTTGCTTGTAGTACTACTAGCTTTGTAGAAATATATTGTTTGTAATATAAAATTTCTCTCTTCGGGAAAGGAAACATCGTAAGATACATAAAAGCCAATAGATTAAGATGGGCAGGCCACGTGGTACGAAGTGATGACGACAGACTAATTAGCACTGTGTTTTGGGAAAGACCAGATGGTAAAAGATCGACAGGAAGGTCTAGAAAAAGGTAGAAAGACGCAGTCAGGGAAGACCTGGAGAAGATGGAAGTAAGGCGATGGGAAATAATAGCACAGGATCGGAATCAATGGAAGGCAATAGTAAACGCGGCAAAAACTCACGAAGAGTTGTAAAAGCCAATGATGATGAAGATAATATAAAATTCGTTGGGGAAGTGGAAAAATACCTACAATTGTATAATCATACATGGAAGGAATATGCCAAGAGAGATTATTTTGGCATTCTATAAAATGATAAAAATTTAGTGTCATCCTGTTGCAGTTCTCTTGCACCAACAAATCACCGTTTATGAAAATTGCGTTCAATATAAGGATGCACCCATAATCTACGTTTTTTTTCCTTTTTCATCCGCCGGTACCACAAAAACATAACAATGTCCTCCTCATCACTTGAACTGCACATTGTATACAAATTAAACTAAAAATGTTAATATATCATACTTTTCACAGATCGAAATAGTCGTTTTGGTGGATATATAAAAAAAGCGTTCTTCCTGGTTGGTAGATATGAGTAAACTGAATCCACTAGTGTGCGGTGAACAATCGCTCGTGCAGCAGGGTTCGTACAAGACGAGCACGCCATGAATTAAACGCTGGTTTATTAGAGAAGAAAATATGTCTAATATTAATATCGAACCTGTAATAATTAACATTGGAGATAATAGTTCGAATTCTGAAAGCGATGAAAATAAAATATGAGAAAACGAAAAACATACGTTCAAAATCTTGCAACAATATTATTTGAGCTAAATTCTTTAGATAACTGCCCAGGGTACTTAACAGCAAGATAGACAGCGAAAATACTATACAATCTCTCAAAGCTCCAATAGAAGAAATCCGTAAAACCATAAACTTTCAAAAATTGTAACTGTATAACTGTAAAATTTCACAAAATGTTTTTATTTTTAAAAACTCCCATGTAAATGTTAATTTTTTATGTGTAAAAACGTTTCTAAAATACAAATAAACCACCCGCTAATAACCCTAGGGGTTAATGCGTTTAAAAAAATCTCTTTTACTATTTATAATAGGTACACTGACTTATTTATTAGTCGATACCATTTTTACCTTACCTTGAATATTTATGTACATCAATGAGATAATTTGCCGCTATTACTGCATTATTAACGAAACAGAATCCTGACCCAATTTCGTAGCATGCATGGTGTCCAGGTGGCCTAACAACTGCTACTCCAGACCTGACTATGTTGCTCTGGATACTTTTAATCAGTGTAAGAATGCAAGATACACATTTTAATATGCAATCAGCAGTAAATTCGTTACGATACCAGTCAGGTTGACTAGGAAGGTCTTGTAGTCTCAAGATTTGGTCTACATATTGTAAATGATGAACCTTTTGAACCCACGCTTCAGAGTCAACAAGTTGATCGTCCTGAAATTAAAATCATATTTACACACCAAAAATATTATTTATTTAAAAACAAAAGCGATTGAACTATTATTATTGTGTATGCTATGCAGCGTGTAGGCGTTCATGCTGGTTGTCGAATATAAAGAGATCCACCTTCCGCTCTTCTTATTATCGTACTGACATCAGATATGTTGCACCAGTTTCTTATGTGTCTTAAGCATGAATGTTGCTTTCGCACAGGGCCTCTTCGACCTTTAACTTTACCTATCAACATGGGTAAAGTTGAAGGTTTAAGAGATTATATTTATTTCGTAGAATATGGCCCAAGCATGAAATCTTTCGCTGCTTAACGAAATCTAAAAAATCTTTTTGGGACATTAGCTCTTCTTAGGACATTATCATTTGTTACATGATCAACCCATGGAACTCTAAGCAACCTTCTGAGACATCACATTTCAAAAGTCTCCACACGTTTCAAAGATCTTAGTTTAAGTGACCATGTCTCACCTTTAAACATCAATTTCAAGACACGGGTTCTACGGGTTACAATACCTTCACGGCAAATGAGGTATTTATCAAATTAAACGAATGCGCTTCTAGCCATTGCCACTGTAGCTCTTCCCTTTCAGGTTACAATCCCACTTGCAGTTTAATGTAGCTAGAAGGTATTTAAATCTTTCAATCCGTTCAATAATCTATTATTTATATTAAATTGAGTTTTCCTAAGGAATTGTCTGCTGATTATCATTTATTTGGTTTTTGTAATTCCGTACCTCTCTCCAAGTCTAACGATTTAAATTTGTGTTTTTTACTCAGTAATTCAAAACACTTGCGGATTTGAATATTTAATATATTTTTTTTATATATACTTTATTTAAGTATGAAAACAGCTTTTGACAATGTTTTTTTTATATATTTCGTATTCTCTTTTACTTTTTTAAATACAGCATTTATAATTTATCATATAATTTACCTGAATATGTTTCAACCGTTCTAGCAGTCCAAATTTCTCAAAAGTCTTTATTATTTCCGTGATACGTTCCGGTCTCTCTGGAACTTCTTTACCTGTTGTAATTTTACATTTGTGCTTGAGCAGAAGTTCATCGTATACATACCCAACTTCATGAGAAAGATTGTAGATTGAAGCATATGCTACAAAATAATAAAAAACAATCATAAACCGTTTTACAACGGAGGTTACTGATTAATGTAATGTCACAACACCAAGAAACCGTTAAATGACCAGTAGACCGCAGATCAAAAGGCAGGTGCAGAGATAGATGGATGGAAGATACTAAAGAGATGTGTATATCAAAAATATACGAGGATTGAAACCATGGATATTATTTGATACAGTGCGTTAAGTTTTGGATTTGGTATACACTCTATAAATGGCAACACTGCGCGTCGTCGACTTGCCACTACATATCTGCTTCGTTGACTCGTCGCCCGTCGGCAAATTTGTCATATTGTCAATATACCGTGGTTGTTTAAAGGTATAACAGCGTAGAGTTTTAATTTATTTTTGTAAACAGGTCTGTTTATATGGCCCCGGAAAAAGCTCAAATAATAAAATGGTTTTATAGTTGCAATTCGGCGCAACAGTGTGTAGATTTATTTTCTGTGTTTTTTGAGGGAAGACCAATTCCTTGTGTACAGTCAATTTATAATATTGTTAAAAATTTTGAGAGTTGTTATTGCCTCAAAAATTGCAGTAAATGTCACGCTCAAGAAGTGTTACCAGAAAAAGTTGAGGAAAGAGAATACCGGGATACACAAATTTGTGCAACAATCGAGGTAGATTCAACACGTTCAAGTAGAAGCGTTGCTACAGAGTTAGATGTTAGCAGTGTTACTGTAACGAAAGTATGGAAAAAGCACGGTTACAAGAATTTTAAATATTCGAAAACGCAGCAGCTTTATCCAGACGATTACTTTCGAAGAATGGAGTTTTGTGAAACTCTAATAACGAAGGCTAATAGTGAACCAAATTTTATTAAAAACTGATAACAGTTGTTATCAACAGGTCCTCGTAGACACTTCGTCTCAGGACCATTTTACTCATGTAGAGTCATACGCCGCCATGTTACCTATCCAACGGTAACTTAAACATCACAAATTATAAATACTAATAATGTAAAACAACTACAAATTTAAAACATTTAAAGGGTTTTTACCCATATATTTTGGTGGCTACTAGCATGTTCAACCGTTTGCACTGATGATGGATTGTTTAATCCGAAAACGTTTTGCAATGTGTTTGTGATAGCCCGTTTGGAGCATTTTTATATACCTTTTATAAAGGATTTTAAACAAAATTTTTTTGTGATATATGGTATACAGCCAGCTACAGGAACTTAGTTTCCTCGTGGAATTAAACAACAAATAAATAAAAATTATTAAAACTAAAAGTATTACCAGTTCGTAGGTCTTCGATCATTTTTGTGAACTTAAAAATTTCCTTCTCACTCCGCACGGGATAAAATCCTGTAGTTTCATAGACAGTAGTTGGCTGAGGAGTAAAACGATATATTATTTTAGACAAGTGCTCGGTTTCACTGTTTATGCTAAGACATTCTTTAAGAGGCACATCATCCTTTGGGTAGGAAAAACAATCCATAAGATTCAAACAATCCCAAGTGCTACGCAGATAGTAAATAGCACTATTTATCACTTTTATTACTTCAGGATGTACTTCTGTAATACTAAGTGGGTAACATGGATCGCCCAGTAGAGCTTTCAATGAGCAAACAACTCCTTCTGCTAAAGACTCTGGAAAGTATCCACCTTCCAGGCACACTACAAGTCTTCCATTAGCTAGTCCTGATAGCAGTGTAATTAGATGGCCATAAAACGCAGGAGTAACTAACATTTCACCCTAAAAAGGATATAATTAAAAAATAATTCAAAAAGCTATACAAAATCGACATTCAATATTCAGAAAGGTGAAGTTGCAATGAAGCGTGATAATGAAATATACTTTCTATTTGATTTGACCGTGAATATTTTGTCATATATCTTTTCTTTTTATTTTCGGTACGTTCTTCTGCATTACTTAAGATCTTGCCACATTTGATATACCAAAAACGGCAACCGTAAGCAGAGAAATATCAGTGTGGGTTCTGAAGGTAAAAGTTTATAACAGACCAAATTTTCAAATTAAGACAAATATTAGAGAAGTGCTGTGAATTTAATGTTGAAGTTCATCAATCTTTCGTAGATTTCCACAATGCGTACGACAGTATAATTCGTGATATGCTATACAGGGTTTTAGTCAATAAGTGCGACAAACTTCAAGTGCTAATTCTGCATGAAAAAAATGATGACAGTTTTGCAATATTAACAATTGTTCGCAAATGCTTGGTTTCCGAGATACGGGATGTTTAAATGCTTCTTAGACACTGACAATTTATTTATTGCTCTGAAACCGGTTGCTATATTCAAATGAACTTTTGAAAATACTTTTGGACGACATTGTATACTAAATTTCCACAAAAATCACTTATGGGCTAAGGAAACTCCACATGGAATCTTTAAAGCTCATTTTTAGCATATTTGCTAAATTGGGGATATTGATAATTTAATCGGTCCATATTTTCTCCCACAAAGACTAACAGGCAAACGTTATTTTAATTTTCTACAGAAAGTGTTACCTATTCTTTTTGAAGAAATTCTACAGCTGAGACAACACTTGGTTTTTTTATGATTGTGCACCAGCCCATTTTATCATTAACGTACAATGTCACTTAGAAACAGCATATCCAAATCGTTGGATTGGTAGAGGAGGTACGGTACAGTGGCCTGCTCGATCACCGGATTTAAATCTTCTAGATTTTTGATTTCTTAAGTCCTTAGTTTATTCCACTCCCGTCGAAAATGTTGAAGAACTTAATATAGCCGGTTGTGAGACGAAGAGTTGAATCTTGTGTTACATCTGAAGGCCACTTTGAACATTTGTTGTAATTTTTGCGGGTAAGTAAAATCTTATTAGTGTTACTTTCCGTTATTGTTCTAGTTTAATGTTCTTGTATTTACGGTTCTTGATAATGTTTTAAATAACAATGAAAAATATGTACCAAGATGTTTTTTTTTTGCATAAAAACCCTGCATGCACCATATGAAAAAAAAAGACAAGAAAGATTTTTTGTACCAAATTAAAAGGGGAATTCAAAAATAATTTTCAATTTGAAATATTCCATTGGCGTACCGTTGTTTTCTTTAGAATATAAAATTCTTAATTGTATGTCAAAAAAATTCGTAATAACCAACTTTTAAAACCCACCAAATTTCATTTGCATCTCAACCGGTTTCAGAGCCATAAATAGTCAGTTTGTAAAAAAATTTAACGTATCTCGAAAACGAAGCACTTGCTCATATAAATTTATTGAGCAAACTCTCATTATTTTTTAATGCAGAATCGCCACCTGAAGTTTGTCGCATTTTTTTCCTAAAAAAATGCGACATCAAATATAAGCCAATAAATAGTAGGCGAGACGGCACCCAATTGACCATAAAGGGGAAGAAAAATATACAAAACGTCTCAAAATTTACATACCTCAGATCTCTAATAGATAGAGACAACAATACAAAGATGGAAATTAAGCGCAGAATCTGTCTAGCAAATCGGGCATACACTGGACTTTTGAGACATCTGAAATCAGACATATTTACCTGGAAAACTACATGATGGATCTATAAAACAATGATCAGACCAGTGTTCACCTTTCAGGTTAAAAAATCTGGGCACTGACAATTTCAAATTAAGCTTACGGAGAACCCAATGTGGCAAAATCGTGAAAAAAAATGTAAAGACCTGATGGTGTCACCACATCCCAAAAGGGATTAAGACTGAGGAGGAGGTATGTCTTGTTGGTATTGCATTGTCATAAATCACGCTTTATTACAGACACCACTTTTACAAACCGTTATAATTACACACTTGATTGTGGCATTGTATTTATCTGTATGTCTCATGAGTCATTTGCAAAAAACCATGACTATGTAATTAACGAATGTAGTATAAATACGTACATCAGTAGGAGGAATTCATTATCACACCCAGTACTGCAGCTGGCTGAAAAGCATAAAACCTGTTAAGGAAATATGCCTCGCTCAAAAAAGTTAAAAATATAAGTTGAATAAATGGCCATACTACTTGATAAGTAATGTAATAAATATTTTTTCTTCGTTATATATCTCAAGTATTGGAAACGATCTTAATAAAAAATTAAAAAGCAATTTAATTAATTAAGTAAGTGAATGTAACTTATCTCAATTTGACAAATTAATTATTTTTATGTCGTATATTGTATTAAGTTTGTTATTCATGTTTTGGATAACATAAAGCGAGTTGTACCTTGTTGATACATTATACAGTTCATGTCATGGTCCTACGAGCCGGATGGCATACATAAAAATATTTCCTGAGCGAAGACATCGAAAGCAACAAGCGGAGCAAGCAACAATGGGTGAGTCTGTTCCATTTTCTTCCCATTCCTAGATTTATACAGAAAATTATCTTGATATTTTTGGGACAAACACAAATACAGTAATATATCCAACACATTGCCATTTATCGATCATTATAACCCATTTTCTCTTCGAAAATCGGATAGAGTGGAAATTTATTCCACCTAAATCGTCTCACCATAGTGGTTAATAGGAGGTCACGATAAAGAGAATAATGAACTCACGTACATTAGTCCCCTTTCGGATGATTCAGATGAAATTTCAGGCATTATCTCCAGGGCATTTTATTATTGGAGATTATTTCACCTCCATACCCGAACTGTATATCACCAATTTACCTGATAACAGACTCACCCAATATCAGTTGCTACAGAAATTAAGCCAACAATTACGGAATAGATGGTCAAAAGAATACCTGTTGATGCTTCAGTAAAGATCAAAATGGCGCGAAGCTACCAATTGTGTCAAGGTAAGTTCGTTGGTTGTATTGGCCTCTGCGTTGGATAATGGGACGTATTACTGAGCTACATCCGGGTCCCGATGGTTTAATAAGAGTTTTTACTGTTAGAATTTCTTTTGGAATAGTTAAGAGAGCTGTCCAAAGACTTTGTTTGTTGCCAATCAATGATATTTAAATGGAGTGATTTCAAGGCTGGCGGTAATGTCAAGTATTGGAAACGACCTTAATAAAAAACAAAAGGACAATTTAATTAATTAAGTAAGCGAATGTAACTAATGTCAATTTGACAAATTAACGATTTTTATGTTGTATATTGTATTTAGTTTGTTAATAATTTTTTGGATTAAATAAAGCGATTTGTATCTTGTATTATATTTTTTAACACTATCTGGGGTAATTGCAGGGTGGATTGAATAGCTCTGCGGTTACCACAGCCGGTTCCCAGTCCGGATAAAATGTGGAGAGTGATTGGCAAGGTTAGCAACCAACCAATCGTCAAAACGAACACTGATCAAAGAAATAATGTACAGCCTCGGAACCGGATCGATACTATGACTACTGCCACGGCAAGAAATAAGGACAAGCAAAAATATCCAAAACACAAATGAGAATTACTACATGGAATATCAGATCACTCAACTCAAAGGACAATCAAAATTAGACGAATATACCGGTTGGTGAATCGCCAAACGGGCCATAGGAAATTCAATGGCAAATTCTAAATTGTTGAATTCTTGCTTCCCTAATTATTTTACATCAAAAGTCATCAAGAAACTATTTGGAGAGCACTGAAATATGTATTAAAAACAAATGGAGTAGTAAAGACGGTTCCCCAATAGGAAGACCACGTAAACAATGGAACGACAACTTACTGGAGGCACATTGAAAAAACAAACGCGTCATGTCTACATAAAAAGAAGATTATATTTAATTTAAAATAAGTCTTAAAGACAAAAGGTGTATCCACGGTAACATTAGAGGCTGTACTTAACCTCCTTTTTGATTGTAATTTGTAAATACCATGCGAGTTAGGTTTGACTTTATACAGTATTTAATGGTGTCAAATTGGCAACACTGCTTATCAGGTACTGTAAATGTTGTATGTGGATCTTCTCAGAGTGTTTTAAACATGTCAAAAATGATGTCGAAATGCATTTAATTTGAGACAAATCTGATAGTTGTTAGGATTGTACTAGCCAAATGTGCTCGTGTTATGAAATTTGAGTGGTATTTTATTGCAATTTAAATTAAAAAACAATTAATTTACAGCTTAGGATCCATCAACACTAAGGAAGGAGCACCAGCTTTTATTGCATGTAAAAAAGCAGAAAGAAAGATTTTTTTGTGTTCTTAATGAAAGAGTACGGATTTTTTTATTGAATTAACTGAAAAACATTTAATTCGCCTATATAACAATGGTTCAAACATATATAGCTTTTTTAGTAGTGTCATGTCATAGTTCATGCTTCCACACCATGCAGTAAAACCGGGAATATCTACCATTTTAACAACCTGATGTTTAGTAGTAGCGAAAAGTCCCCGTTAGTAAATATGCTTAATCTTAATAAAACTTAACCTCGCCTTTTTAATTCAGGTCACCCACAAGCCTGAATAATCACAATCAATGGGACCTAGGAAACAAATATGAAGAAAAAAGTGACTGAACTGGAAAAACAGCTACAAATAATAGAAAAAAATCTAAGAAAACTTCAGAAGCAAAGAACATAGTGGCTCATTTTAACTGTTTTTCAATGTTGCCTGTCTTCGTATGCTCTTTATCTCACAGTTTTTGCATTTTCCTTTCCACTTTCCTCAGATCATAGTTTATTTACTCAATTTTTGTTTATTTTTCTTTAGTCTCATCAATTAGTTCAATTAGGCAGCAGGAGCTAAGTTTTTATTAGTGTTATTAACCGCATTTTTATTGCTGCTCATCGTTCCAATATTCGCATGATTAGTTTAATCGTTAACCAATTAAAGATTTGTAACATAAATATGCTTTATGAATATAAGAATATATTTAGTTGATGCAATATATTGATTTTGTTTGAGAAATACTCACTAACATACAATTTTTACTAAGTCGTACACATAATAGAAAGGAATGGGACACTGAAAGAAGTCTGCGATAAGAACCATATCAATAAAATTCATTAAAATTTAATCTTTTCGTGACAAAAATTATACAAAAATTCATCGGGCTTTAAATGAGATGTACTGTAAACAGAACTTAGACCATAGTTTATTGTCTCTTTAGTGCCGTTTACTAAAATTGTATTAATACTTATATTATACTGTTTAAAATTTAATCTTTTCGTGACAAAAATTCATCGGGCTTTTAAATGAGATTGTACTGTAAACAGAACTTAGACCATAGTTTATTGTCTCTTTAGAGCCGTTTATCTTGTCATCAGGTGCCACCAATCACGCACTCGATAGTTCATCGCCCTTCCTTCTGGAGTTTTATTAAATTTTAATTGGTTAAAAATCGAAAAAGGTTTCATATAAAAGTTAATTTTACTTTAAATATGGGACATTTTCGGATTTACAGTCAGTGCGGTTTTACCCATAGAGGGTAGCCCCAGGGCTCTTCACTTTGAAGGGCTCTGAAAAGTTCTAAAGACTCTGACGCTGAGTTTTTTTCTACTTAGAAATTGTGAGTTTTATTTCTAAAGTACCTACAACCACCTACAGCATTGTCTTTTTCAAGACAATGCCCAAAACAGAGCGTACCGGCTAACTACGCAATATTGCGCAATAGTTAGAGATATTAGTAAACATGGTTATAGCACCGAGATGCATTTCAATTTCCTACGTTTACTAATAATCGCCCGGAGACGACAATCTGAAGGCCGTGACAGCAGAACCCATGGCCACGCACGCCGAAAACATCAACTGCAACAGAAGCGTTAAGCTGATGTCAGATTTAAAATACGAACTTCAAAAAACAAAATTTATTGGCATCCTAATGTTTTAAGAGATTAGGGCACATAAAGAATAGCAGCCAGATTTCAGTGTAAAGAAGCTAAGCTTATACAATTATTATTGAGTAAAAACATTAAAACAGACAAAACCATAATCATATTTCGACAAATTCAAAATTAAGCCACAAATGAGTGCATTAAACAGCTCTTTTGCTCCAATCATATTTGAAAAATTGGTTTTTCTCACCTTTTCATCCCCCATACATGAGTCATAGCCTGCAGATACAATAATCAAGTCTGGATTAAACTAAAAAATTAAGAATAAATTATATGTATTTACCTCTGGACATCCTATAGAGGCATCATAACCTGCTGATACTAATACTAGGTCAGGATTGTACTAAAATATATAAATATTGTAAATTATTATTATAATTACATAAATAAAACAAACCTTTCACGGTATATATATATATATATATATATATATATATATATATAGTATATATATATATACAGATTGAACGAAATAAATTCGGAACATAGGAATATAATGTATTTCGGCTCAATTCTGCTGTAGCTGGTTGGCCAACAAAAGATTGTCAAATAATTATATTATAAAAAATCCCATACTTCAGCGGGCTGCTGGATTCTGAACTCATAAAAATTGAAAGCTACACATAAATCTACGATTTTATTATGCTGTCAAACCAGTTATAGTCCAGGAAATGTAGCATTTCACCTCGCAATTTTTTCGTGCGGCGTGGATTGACTTGAAATTTAACAGAAGGTAGGTAATAGCCTAAGGATCAAAATCTATATCGAACCAAAGTGCGCCAAAGCCTAGGGGGTGGTTGCCACCCCATCTCCGGGGTGAAATTTTTTTTACGTTTTAACTACAGGTTTCGATTAGAAAAGTGATTCTAAACAAAAAATGTGCTATACATTTTTTTATAAAATGATATTTTTCAAGTTATTCGCGATTGAAAGTAACAACTTTTAGACGAAAAAATCCACGTTTTTAATCGATTTTTCGCGAATAACTCGAAAATGGTGCATTTTATCAAAAAAATTGTAGAGAACAAATTTGTAGCTTTTAAAAAGACAAATACAATTACAAATACAATATCAATGTTCAGCGGTTTTCTTCAAATGCCAAATTTGAAAGATTCAAAGTCAAATATCGGGAAAATGATGCATTTTTGGAAGAAAACTCACAAAACCTTTTTTAAAGAGCATAAATAGACCTATCATAAAAAAATAAGGTCAATACCTCATTTTTTACGAAAAAATCGAGGAAAACAACAACCCTAACCACCCCCATAATTAAAATCGATCTTCACCCTTCTGCAATTCCCTTTGTAGATGTATTGTTAATACGTCCAAGAAGTTTGACCCATTTAAAATGCTTAGTTTTAGAAAAAGTACAGCTTAAAGCGAGAAACGATTTACAATTTCATATTTTTTACCCTTCTTTTTTTAAATATGCCCGAAAATACTGAATATATGAAAAAAATAAAAATTACCAAATTGTAGCTTTTTTAATGACTAAAATTATCCTTTATTTAGATTTGTTGTACAATGAATATTTGGCGAGATATAGCCGTTTAAAGCATCGATTTACGATCAAGCACCATCTTTTTCGAGCCCTTTAAACTCACCCATTTAAAAACCAAGGGTTCCAAAAAGATTTAATTCACAGATCCTTGTAGCTATTAAAAACCTCTACAAATCGTTTTTGAAGAAACATCTATCGTTAAAAATTAAAGGAAATACGTTAAAAAAACCAGTTAATTTTTTTCCGGAAAATTCCATTAGTATAGTACAGTACATTTCGGAGCATAATAATCTACAAAACCGGTATATTAGCTAGTGGGGCGTTATACATTCGAAATTTTAAGCGTTCTTATTTTGAAATCCCATACAACAGAATAAAACATCTGCTCATATGTCTATGGCTTGGCAATGAAAATATCAGAGCAACAGATTGGGGATGGTTTTCCAAAGATGGTTTGTTATTACCCGTACGCATGAACAAACAACCTGCACCCGATAAATTTTTGAAAATTATTTTTTGCCAATGCAAAAAAGGATGCGGCGTTTCATATGGGTGCAGAAAAGTTGGTTTATACTGTAACTCTACTTGTTCTGGGTGCTCAGGTGAAGGGTGCAATAACAGTCCACCAATAATTGAGGAAGATGATGATGACATAGATCACGATGAAGATGTAATTGATGACGAATAAAATTAATATTATAATTGTTTTACCTATAAATGTAAATATTTTCAACTATTTATGTAAATGTATAAGAATATATGGTGCCTTTTTATGTTGATAATTTTTTTTGTATTTAATTCTACTTTTTTCAATTTATATCTTATAAATTAGTTTATAAAAACTGCAATGTTGTAAAGGGTGATTTTCAAAAGTTGAAAAGTTGCAAAATTTTGGCAAAAAATTGTTTTCACCTATAGCACTCATAACAATTGATTTTTAAGGGTTGAAAATGTATGAATTTGTATTTTAAAGTATAAAAAACTCACTATTTAACTAATCCAAACCAAATTTCACTCATCTTAGGATTTGTAATATTATTTTACAATTTTTGAAAATTAGGGGTAGTTTTCACCCCTAAGAACAATCAGGGTTCATCGGCATGACATAAACTATAAAGCAGAGGGTGAGTTGAGCTTAATTCCAAATTTTTATGCAAGTCGTTCCAAGGTGAAATCATTTTCTTCGCATTACTAATTTTTTTATATTAATCTCTAATGAGGGTCGCTTTTTAAGGGTTGAAATATGATGGAACTTTATTGAAAAGCACGAAACTATCATTATTTAATTAATTCAAACCAAATTTTACCCATATTCAGGTTTAATATGTTATTTTATAATTTTTGACAATTAGGGGTAGTTTTCACCCCTAAGAACAATCAGGGTTCGTCGACATGACATAAACTATAAAGCAGCGGGTGAATTGAGCTTAAATCCAAATTTTTATCCAAATCGATCCAAGGCGAAATCATTTTTTTAGAATTAGTAATTTTTTACATTAATCTCTAACAAGGGTTGCTTTTTAAGGGTTGAAATATGATGGAACTCTATTCAAAAGTATAAAATAATCATTATTTAATAATTCAAACCAAATCTTACCCATATTCAGGTTTAATATGTTATTTTATAATTTTTGACAATTAGGGGTAGTTTTCACCCCTAAAACCCTTCAGCGCACTTCGGTTCGATATAGATTTTGATCCTTGGGCTATTACCTACCTTCTGCTAAAATTTCAACTGGATACATGCAGGACGAAAAAATTGCGAGGTTTTAACTTTTTTCGAGCTTCAATTCCTGAACTATTATCGCCTCCTTAGACAAACCCGTCTTACGCAAACAACTTTGTTGCGAGACAGATAGTTGAACGATATTTTATACAATGTCTATACCCAGGTATGGATTTATTTTTGTCCAAGTTTTATATTGGTCCACTATTTTAAATGCAGTTCAAACAGACATGTATTAAATTGTATGTTCCGTTTTAATTTGGTTCAATCTGTATATATGTTATATATATATATTATATAATATATATATATATATATATATATATATATTATATATATATATATATATATAACTCCTGGACAAAATTACCGCACCAACTCATATTTTTCTCAATAATCTTTACTTATCGATAATTTACTGTACAAGTTGCCTATGAACCTTGTTTGATAGTGACAGTTGTTATGTAAGCTAATAATAGTCTTGTTTTAACAATAATTTGTATTAAACTTCGTTCTAGACTAAAAGGAGTTAAACTTTTCATAAAAAGTGCCGATTAAAGCAAAGTGCTTGTTACAAACAAGTTTTTTATTGTGATATTTTTCATCGCATGCATGTTTGGAAGTTCATTTGCATAAAAATAAAAAAAAATGAACCGACAAAGAAATTTGTCAATGGAGGAGACAGTGCGAGTATCGACTCTCCTAGATGAAGGATATTCAATGCGATACGTTGCAGGTTTGTTAGGAAGACATCATTCCAGCATCAGTCGCAAGATGAGGCGACATAATGAAACAGGGTCGTACCATCGAAAACCAGGGCAAGGGCGAAAACGTTGCATTAATCAAATTGATGATCGTTTTTTGAGACAACGTGCTCTCAGAGATAGGAGAGTTATCAGCAATTTGCTAAAAAATGAACCAGCAGATGTTCAAAATGTCGCGATATCGTCTCGAACAGTTAGAAGATGTTTACATGAAGCAGAATTGAGCAACAGGAAACCGGTCAAAAAACCCTTGCTTACCAGAGAAGACAGGATTCAGAGATTGAATTTTGCAAGATTGCATCAAATTGGACCATCGATGATTGGGAACGAGTTCTTTTCTCCGATGAGACTAAAATAAGCCTAAAAACTCCAGATGGTCGTGAGCGTGTCTGGCGAAGGCGAGGAGAAAGGTTTGTCAGCTGCAATATCTCTTTAAAGTACTTTTGGTGGTGGCTCTAAATAGTTTTGGGGGGGGGGGGGAATTTGTTTTGAAGCTCGTACGGAGTTGATCTACATACGTACGAGGTCTATGAATGCCCATTATTACTTAGACAACATTATTAGTCGAACATGTAATACCTTTTGCTCCGTTTCTTGGATCTAATTTTTTATTCGTGCAAGATAATGATCGTCTCATGTGGCTCGACAGGTTATTGGCTACCTAAATGATGTTGATATTCCATTATTAGAGTGGCCACCTAACAGTCCGGACATGAATCCTATAGAGCATCTATGGGACTATCTCAAAAAAGATTCGAAGTCGTTATATCCTAGTGCTAAAGTCGCCTATTGCCAATAACAACGAACTCATTGAAGCCGTTATTGAAGAATGGGAGAATATTCCGAAGCTTTTGTTGAACATTTGATATCAAGCATGCCTCGACGCATAAATGCAGTCATAAGAAATAAAGGAGGGCCTACACGGTATTAGTGTTGATCCAGATGCATTTTATTGTGTTACTCTACTGATTTTTTTCTTTTTGCAATTTGGAGTTGTGCTAGCTTATTTACGCATTTCCGGCAAAAACAAATTTTGAAAGAAACAATAAGGCAACTTAAGGTCATGATAAAATCTTGTTGGACTTATTTGTAGGTGTTTATTATTATTTCAATGTAACTTAGTTTTATTTTGTGTTCATATTGTAAATATTTAGATTAATTAAAGTGGTGCCTTAATTTTGCCCAGGAGTTTATATATATAAAATATATACTATATATATATATATATATACAAGATAAATTATTAAAAACTAAAACCTTAATAAAAATGGCTATATAATTACTTGGTATGCTACTGGAAGAAGCACATTTAATATGATGGCAAGGTAATCAGAATCATTTAGCCCTGTTGCATTCAATGGAATATTAATATTATGTCCAGTTCCAACCCCTTCACCAATGAAGTCAAAGTCACTTTCTCTTAAGTTTGGCCAGAATGTTCCTTGTTCATAACGGTGAATTGAGAAATATAGTACACTTAAACAGGTTACAATAATTTATATAAAATAAGTAAATCTTTCAGCTGGACATACATTGAGGTAAGTGGGGCAACTGCGCTTTCGCAGTCCACTGCTGTCATCAAAGCTATCGAATGAGTTAATTCTGCTATGTAAATCTACATAACTACAGCTAAAAAACTGAAAAATTTTATTGTGGGCTATGCTCACCAAAAAACGAAAAAGTGTTATTCTAAAAGTAGTTAAACACAAATAAATATTTCATTTAAAAAATTTAAAAAAACAAACAATACATTCTATTGTAAAAATAACAAGTAAACTAAATAAAAGGTTCAAATATACAACCTTCTTTAGCCAAGACAATAACCTAGTCTATCATAAAATGCTTGTTTTACATTTGAATTTTATTTCTAAATCATCTAGATTACGTGCCCTCTCGAGGTCGTTGCCATTTAATATGTCCCCAGAAAAAAAATCTATGGGAGTCAAATAGGGAGATCTCTCAGACCATTTAATTTGGCTTTTTACGCTTATAATGCGATCCTGAAAAAATTGTGTTTAAATAATGTCTCATGATAAGCACATTATGAAAGGAACCACCATCCTCTTGGTACCAGACACCTTCTAGAGGTACATCTGGGAGATTATGAATAGCTGGAATAATGTTAACTTGTAAAAGAGCAAGATGTTTAGCTGAATTCAGAACTCCTTCAATGAAAAGTTGACCAAGTACATGGTGATCTAAGATCCCAGTCCATTAAGTGTTTGAGGGCGTTGAGTCCGATGTACAATACGTGTTGTACACAGTGTCCGATGTACACAAAAACACTTTTCATCAGTGAAAAGGATATTTTTTTATAAAATTATCACTTTCTTGAGATGCATTCATTGCAGCTTCACAAAACTCCATTCTACGAAATTGATCTCTGGAAACTAACTCCTGAGTATGCGAGATCTCCAATTCCTCGGCGACACTTCTAGTGGTTCTGGAGTTATCCACCTCAATGATAGCACAAATATTTTCATCTCTTCTGTCGATTTTCTGGTGTCTTTCCGGGGACATATCTTTTCTTTTGTGACATTTTGTACAATCTTGTAAATAATGTGCTTCAAAACTATTTACAATTGTTTGTCTACAAGGTATGAGTCTATTTTTCGAAAGTATTAGCAGATAGATCTACACATTCTGACAAAGAATTGCCTTGACAATACCATTTAATTATTTGAACCTTTCCTGGAGATGTGTAAATAAACTTTTAAAAACAATACTCTTCGCTTCACGATTCCAATTGAAAATAAATGTGTACAGCTAAGGTGCCGATTATCGAGCGCATTGTAGGCTATCACTTAGTGTGCTTAGTGTTATAGACTCGAGAAAGTGCAGTTGCCATACTTACCTAATGTATATTACCTATGTCCAGCTGAAAGATTTACTGTATGTATTTACATGCATACATCTGTATATTAGTGATTACTTACTCGTTCCTATCATAAAACATTTGTTGTGTTGCTTGACCATGATGGACATCATAATCAACAATCAATACTCGCTTGGCATGGCCTGATGAAAGTGCCATTTCCGCTGCTACAGCAACATTGTTTATGAAACAATATCCACAAAATTCATTACTCATGGCATGATGGCCAGGCGGCCGAACCAAGGCCAATCCATTTCTGAGATTGCCAGTCATTACTTCTTGTGTTAATGATAATACTGATTCAGCAGCTGCCATTGCAGAATCATATGTTTGCTATAAATGATAGTTAATAGTAATATGGTATAAGGAATTAAATAGTAAGATTAAAAACATTTTTTTCTGATTGGCTTATCAACATTTATTTTTGAAAGATAATCAAATCTTTGTGAATAATTTTTCTCCATCCCCTACTAACTGAAAAATATGATGCCCTTTCCCTTCACCAGCATACCCAAATCAACTAAAATCCATTCCTATTTCTTAATTTACAATGTTTCGGGATAACAAAAGTTTAATAAGAAAAACATTTTAAAATTCTATATCTTGAAATGTCCCAAAAAATTCTCAGATATATAAATTCTCAAACTATTACATCTAGTAAATCAGACTAATGAAAAATCCATCAATAAATCTACTTTAAGACCAAAAATTACAAACAGAATGGATGAGAAGAAAAATCAAATTAGAAAGGACCAAAATATGGCTAAACTCTTTTTTCCACACTGTATAATATGAACTTAAAAAGACAAAGAATGAAGGTGTCAACATAGAAGAAAATATATAGAGTTAAACCAACTGACAATATTACAGTATGATACATTATTCTAGAATAAAAATTGTTCACATTTACCTGAGTAAAATACACAGCATCATATTTAGATGAGAATGTACGTAAATCTTCTCCAGAAAGTTCCTTAGTTAATTTGAGCTTTTCTAATAATTCAGGAGTATGTTTCTTCAAAAATACTTCTGTAGAAAAATGTAAACGTGGCACTAGTACACATCGATGTTTTAATTCTAAGGCATTTATCCTAAAAAATAAAAAATGTAAGTACAAACATTGTTTAAACCATACATGTATTTTATTATAATAAACTTCTAATCTTGATAATTGTCTTTTGTTCTGTTTACTGCATGAGTTAGAATCTATGGAGAGGGCATCACGTGACTAAAAACAACCTCACTTCGGCCATATTGGTATGATTGTTTACATTTGTTATTTTTCGAATATTTTTAGTTTTATAATACTTTTATAGAAACTGTAATATTATATTGTGATAGTGCATAATAATGGTTTCTTGTTCTCAACATAGTTGCAGTAACAGAAGCAATGTTAATAAAAAACCTTCAGAAATAACGTTCCACAGGTTCCACATACAAATATGTAAACAAAGTAATGGCCCGTACTTCAGAGAATAAATTAATAGTATTCATAAAAAATCTTACAGTAACTTAGAAAAGTTTCTCGATAAATTTTTCAGTCATTATTTAATATTTTAAAAAATTTCCAAAATAGCAATTAAAACATCCACTTCCAATGAAATATAAGTAATGAATACACCGAATATAAAGATACTAATAAAATATAAATTTGTTATTAATACCTAGTGATGCATATAATTGTATTTTTAGGTTTCCAAAAGATAACCAAATAAATATACTTATGTTCAAAACATTTTTTAGAAAAAGATATTGATAGAATTTCACTTTCTATTCATTTAAGTTCAATTAAGGAATTAGTAATGAGAGCATAGTTATAATTGAAAAAAATAAATTAATATTGATTAAAATTTAGAGAACCATTTGGAAAACTTTCACTTTTCTATTTGAAAACTTTTGGATTAATAATGAACATTACCTTCTTTCAGCACAAGCAACTCTTTCAACATTTTCAGGGTATAAAGAATCCCATATACAATAGTGGCTTAGACTTTCCTCTTGAATATACCCAGTTTTACTTGGAGCAACTGTTATACAATTGTTTACAAGTTCAAAAGGATCTTTGAGTGTTGAAACTGGTTGCTCAAGTTTAACTTTCCTCTTGCGTTTTTCAGCCAAGAATTGTGACAACTAAAAATTATTTATTAATAACAACACTAAAATGATTAATTTAAGTATAAATAAAAGTACCTTTTGTGTTCCCCCAGGTGATTTTGATATTATGGAAGCTCCTGGATCATTATCACTGAAAAAGGTTTATGTTAATCAAAAGTAACAGTAATTAAATACTGTATGAACAAAAGTAGGGGCACAAGACATATTCTGCAGTGTACTTAAAGAACCAAAATAAAAAATGTAAAATAAATGTATTTGTGTAACTGAGCTAGATCTATGAAGCTAAGCTATGGAAAGTATAAGTAATATGTTTATTTATTAATTAAATATGATATAGTATGATATAGATAAGAGATCAAAACATTATGTAACCATATATTTGAATTACTTCAACCATTTTAGCAAATACACACTAAAATAAGACTAAGCCAAAAGTCTTAAACAAAGGTGAAATAGATTTAGCTACTGAAGAAGTCTTCTTTATGTTTATATACAATTATTTCTTTATGATAATGTTACGATAAAATGACTAATAAAACTGTAAACATTCTTTTCATTCTGATATGTTCTAGATCATACACCAGCTGGCAGAAACTTCAGGTAATACCTGACAGATCTCCTATGATTCGAAGTTTCCAGAAGAAGGTCAAATGAAAACCAGTCTGGGTGACCTTCTTGTCTGTTCGAAGGGAACCACTGGAATTTTAGATAATGTTATTTAGAATATATATTAACTATTTTTAACTTATATTCGGAGGAAATATTTAAGGAAGTCTTAATGGAGACAACACGAAGGTATTATTGTGAATGGAGTAACCGTCAACAATATTAGATATGCCGACGATACCTTAGTCCTTGCCAATTGCGGAGAAGACCTTCAAAATCTAATGAACAAAATAAAACAGACTTGTGATCAGTATGGACTAAAACTCAACGTTAAGAAAACTAAATATATGATAGTTAGCAAACAAAATTATATACATGATGACGGTATAAAGTCGGAGATGCCACACTGGACAGAGTAGAGAAACTCGTGTATCTCGGCAGTAATATCAATGAGAGCTGGGATCCAACCGCAGAAATTAAAAGCCGAATAGAACAAGCCCGAGCTGCCTTTGTAAAAATGAGAAACGTACTTTGCAGTCATGATCTTAGCATTGACCTTAGAGTTCGTATGATATCTTGCTACATCTTTCCTGTCCTGCTGTATGGAGTAGAAGCGTGGACCCTAACTGAGGCTATGCTTAAACGCTTGACAGCCTTTGAGATGTGGGTATACAGACGACTACTGAAAATAAGCTGGGTCGACAGAGTTAGAAATGAGGAGGTCCTTAGACGGCTGAACCAAACAACACAACTGGTCAATATAATAAAGAAACGCAAGCTGGAATACTTCGGTCATATTATGAGACACCCTGAAAAATATGATCTTTTACATCTGATCATTCAGGGAAAGATCCAAGGTAATCGTGGTCCTGGTAGAAGAAGAACATCATGGCTGAAAAATCTAAGGCAATGGTATGGAAAATCAACTACATCGTTATTTAGAGCTGCTGTCAATAAAGTCACGATAGCGAATATGGTAGCCAAATGATATCCAACGATCGATAACGGTCATGGAACTAGAAGAAGAAGAATATATATGGGACATTTTATTGAAAAGGAAGTCAGTCCGAAGATATAATTGAATCCAATATAAATTGTAATTTATGTAAAAATAAATTAGTGTGATTGTATTAATAAAGACTTTAATAAATTTGTAAGTGTTGTAAAAGTGTCGAACCTTATACAATAAATAAAGACAATAAATTAGATTAATAAAAATACAATAATTTATGTGTGATCATTTCCTTGTATATTTAAATCTTCAATGCCCATGGGACATTCTTAATGGATCATTTGACCCAACATGAATCACATATAAATCAATACTATTTAAGTATATTATGTGTTGAATTACCAAAAATGGGGAAAAAGGTACTGCTGGTGGTATCAATATTTTTGTATGGCATTACATCGCAGGTCATTATTTTGTATTACCTACCTAAGTTGTCTCCTAAACTGGTAAGTGTATCTTAACTGTGACTTACATGTACTGATAAGAATTGAATTGACAGCATAGTTTCTAAAGTTGTTATTACATATTGTAGTAGTATTACATGTTTTGTATATGGTGGGTCAAATTACCCATTAAAAATCTTCCCTTGGGTTGTAGACTATTTGTTTATTATCATCAGACACATAATAGTATCTTTAAGGAATATATTCCTTGGTATCTTTCTTATTTTGAAATCAATATCCTTTATTTCTTTCATTTTATTTAATAATTTGAATACATCCTACACAGAATAGCTTCTAGGCATAGAAAATGTTAATATATTCTAAAATATAGCAGATAACTAAACTAGCAATATTCAATGCAAGTTTTATTTCATAACGTGTATTTGATATTCAGCTAAAAATACAAAATTTTAGAACATAAACAATTTTCTTACCTTTTACCTTGGTCTCCCATTATAAATATTTTAAAATCACATTCAGTATTATCACACTTGTTAACACAGACTATGGATACGGTTACGGTATGAATATGAATTGAATTATTATTGAATACGAATACGAATACTGTAAAAATGTAATTTTACAGAACATAAAACAAAACAACTGTCAATACAAAACTCACATGACTTTGATACTTGTTTGATTATTTGGATTGTAAAATGAGTATCATATCGGATTTGTAAAAAATATCTTCTACTATTTATATATTGACACTAGATATCCAACCACCTAAATCTTCTAATTTTGTATAAAAGAATTCTTATTTAGCGTCCTTTATTATTTTATATTTTTTTGTTTAATTATAATCTACAATATCGTGTTCATTATGTGTTCTCTGTGTTAGCCATTGACTTTAAGAAAATTTTAAGGAAAAAAAATGGTAACCATAGTACATAAATGGTAACACGCCATAGTGTGTCGATTTTTTAAACTAAAAGAGCCAACATTTTGACAGTTCCGAAACGTGGCGATTTCGTGGCGTGCCACAAATGAGAAATTTCGATCTTTCACTTTAATTCTGGTTAGGTTGGAATGATCTAACAGAAGGAAAATTACTGTTAGTGGAAATAAGTGATATTTAGTAGTTGTGATAAATTAAACCGACAAGTAGGTAACATTTATTATTTAAATAATAACTTTTTAAATAAAATTTAATTTAAATTGAAGTAATAAATTATTGTTTTATTTTTTATCTTTAGAATGAAGTCTGGATTGTTATTCTTAGTTATTGCACTATTTTCCTTTGCCCATTGCGAATCAGAAGATGACACTGGTCCAAGACTACTAGTATCGAAGCAAATTTTGAACAGATATTTAGTGGAAACTAAGGATATTGAAGTTAAATACACCATCTTCAATGTAGGAACTTCAGCAGCTGTTAATGTTCAACTTGTAGATAATGGATTCCATCATGAAGCATTTGAAGTTGTTGGAGGTCACTTGCAGTCCAAATTTGAAAGAATTCCACCACAATCCAATGTTACCCATGTTGTTGTTGTCAGGCCTTTGAGGTATGGATATTTCAATTTCACAAGTGCAGAAGTATCCTATAAGGCAGTAGATGATGCATCTGTAAAAGTAAGTATTCTCATAAAATTTTGGTAAATTCACTCACTTTTTATAAAATAAGCTTTTTTTGTTTAGAAAAAGCTTGTGGTCTGAATCTATAATGCATACTTCGACAACTATTATTGACTTTACGATACTTGATTTGCCTGATTTTCTATTGTGATAATTTGCCGATTTTCTATGTCCTACATTTTTTACACCTTATTTTTTTTTAAACTGCCAAAGAAAGAACACTCAAAATTTATTTACTGTCAGATAGTTGACATTAAGTAAATATTTCATGATAAACTCTTTCTGTTAGTTAATGCAATTTTTGTTGCATTGCATCGCAAGAGGTGAAATGCAGGAGATACAAGAATTAAAGCCTTCACGAGGCATAAGCTCATGATAGATGAAATCAAATATACTATCAAAAACTCTAAAGAAAATTAGGCAGCTAGATTAGAAAAAATATCTGTATAACTATTGGAAGAACATTAAAATTATTAGTAGACTTGTTTAACACATTATATGATACAAGAATAATACTGGAAGAGTGGCTTTTTATAACTATTCTTTAAAAACAACTAGTGAAAGAGTGAACTATTGAACACTGAGAAACTACAAGTAACAATTTTAGTTGGTTATATTATTTTGTAACGGTATTGGATCTCTATTTAGTTTTTGCAGCTCTAGTTATGATATGACTTTTTGCAATACATACTGGAAGTGATGCCATAGCACCATTATATACAAAGCAATACAAAAACAATAATCATAACCTCAACAAAGAATGAAATGTATGACAAATAAAGTACATTTGTTTCATAAAAGTAATTTAAACATGTTTTGTTTAGCTTTTACAATCTTCAAACTGTTATGTTTTTGGTCATATTTATATTTTTTGCAACAACATTTTCTATTAACAAAATTGCCAAGCTATTTAATTTTTCATTTGCCATCATTGATGGCAATTTACTGAAACTATGTTCACAAGCTGCAATGGTTATAGGAATTGTTAACAATATTCTTAAAATTGTCCTCATAAATATTACTGTTGCCATTTTAGGAATTACGTTTTTGAAAGATATAATAATTTCATTCATTACTTTAGTACCATCATATCATATTTTTATTGGTCTTATAAAAACAAATATAAATTCATGCAACATTTGCATAATTCATCATTGTTTAGATTCTTTTTTAATTTGCTCAAAAATCCCCAGTTATTCAAAAAAATCATTGGTTTATTCAAAAAGCTGTACAGATGAAGACTTAATTTGATCTACTAATATTTTGAATACATTTATTTTGAAATGTTCTTTCGCATTAACAACATCATCATCAGTAGCTTCATCGTCATGCTGTTGGTTTATACAGCAGATGTCTTGTATAAAGATATACAGATCAAGTCTTGTATAAAGATGGGTTCAGTACCTAGCATTTATCTCAATCAATGTTGTGTGAAAAAAGACATAAATACTTAGGTTACATTATTTTTATTAGTAAAAACATAGCAAAAATTTTAATTAATAAAAAAAAATCTAGCTTGGAAAATTTTTTATTCAATATTACAAAAATTAGGCTATTTACATCAAGACGATATTGTACATCACATTGAAGTACTTAATTTAAACTAATTTTAATATTTAATTGGACAGCCCTTGTTTTTAATAAATAGTTCACATCTTTTGTTTTGTGAATTTTGTTTTATTTGTGGGTTTGCTTTTGGAAATGATGTTTGATATCCTTTGCCACAAATTCTCGTTAAGATTGAGATCCAGGGAATTCCGCTGGCCAGTCCATCCTATCAATTTCATTACTCTCCATCCAAGCTTTAACCAATTTTGCTCTATGGCAAGAGCATTATCATCCTGGAAAATAAATTTTTGTTCGCCAAACAGGTCTTTTCCACTACGCAGCATCTTATTCTGTAGTACCTCAATGTATTTGGTAGCATTCATTGTCCCAGAGACAATGTGTAGGAGACCAACTCCTCGATCGGACATGCAACCTTATATCAACGAGGTTGGATGTTTAATTGTGGAAAGAACACATTTTGGAGAAAATTCTTCACCAGGAAATCTTCTGGCGTAGGCATTTCCAGCATGATTATTAATATTGAAAGTGGATTCATCACTAAACAGTACACTCTGCCACTGCTCTGCTGTCCAGATTTCGATGTGCCTTATATAATTTAAGTCCAAAACTAAGCACTCTTTTTCTCACAGTGGAAGTGTACGTGCTTACACCTGTAGATTCAGACCACAGCTTCGTCAATTGGGTGGAATTAAGGTTTGTGTCTACCAGACTTGTTCTTCTTAACTTAGCGTCATCCCGAACAGAAGTTTTCTTTGGTCTGCCACTACGCGGTCTGTCGTCGATTTTCCGCTGTTTGGCACACTTCTTAATGACTAATTACTGTAGATTGATTACAGTTTACTGCGGATGCTATTTCGCTGTCGTTTTTATGGTGAAAAATAATTTCAAAATGCTTTTTGTGGATAATGGAAAATCCCTTCAATCAGATTTTTTAATCATTTCTGTAGAATTTTGAGCTAGTAATTAAAAAAAAACATTAGTAATTATACCAATAATGTTAATTACAAGCACAAACTTAAAATGAATTAGCGAAAATATACAAAAAACTTGGGTTAAACCTGAAAAACTATAAGGTGCTTAGGTGATTCAGGACTTTTTAACACCACTGTAATTAAAGTTTGATTGTCAAGAATTTTAATGAAAAATCATTTTTGATAATAATCCTATTACTAGAAGTAAAATGAATTTAATAAAATTCGTGATATTCAAACTTTAATCACTTATTGTGTAAGCTTATCAGATTTTGAGTTGTGTCACTCTTGCATGCAGGTGATGAAAGAGTATCCAGCTTGATACACCACTGAGCTATGGCTGCCCCTGTATCCAAGCTTGCTTTACTTAAGTTTTTTTTGAGCAAATGATTTCAAATGATGGTCAATAATTATGATAGAGTATTTTTCTTTTAGTTTATTTATTTTATTTTATTTATTTCAGATCAAACGTTCTTTGAGTAGTGAACCAGGTGAAGGAGGAATCATTGCCTTCAGGGAATACAACAAGAAATTTTCATCTCATTATTTTGATTGGTTGGCCTTTGCCTTCATGACAACACCATCATTGGTTATCCCCCTAGTTCTTTGGTACAGTAGTAAGAGTAAATATGAAAAATTGGGAAAGCCCAGCAAGAAGATACATTAATCATTGAAAAGTAGTGTTTTCATCAAACATTCACGATTTCTATCATCCTAGTTCATTGTAAAAACCTTTTTTTATAATTTTTCTGTTGTTACATTGTTTCATGTTTTATATGAATACATGCTGCGTAAAATGAGACTTAGAATAAATTATTTTGTATTTATGTACAAGACAGTGAAATAAACATGTTTTCATAAATCAGAACATTATAATTTTGATACTGCAGGATAGAAACTTAAAGGTTGTAGGAAAAATGCATGAATACATTGAAAGATAAATTTTAAACAAGTTTTAAGATTTATAATTATTATCAGATTTGGTATAATGCATTTTGTCTAACAGAAACATGCAATAATATATATTACGCAGCCAGGAGAGTTGTTTTCTTCTAAGCCAACATTTTCTTTCTATTTTGCCCCGAATGATCAACCAGAGTAAGTGGTTGATATTTAGGTCCACTCATATGACCGAAAAAACTCATCAACTTGATGATACGCTATGATTATGTCATAGGTGTGTGTGGCAATGGAAAATATGAGGATACCCAGTGAGATTATTAACATAACAAAAATATGTATTGATAATTTAATAGCTAAGGTCAGAATAAGAAAACATACCGTAGACACAAAAGAAAATAAAAATTAGAGAAAAGCTGAAGAGAATTCGGAAAATGAAATAAACTAGAAACAGACAGTTCTGTGTAATATGAGATCTCTAAATGGAGACACAATTTCACCACTGATATTCAATCTGTACTCGTAGCACATTTTTGAAGAGGCTCTAAAAGATATTGATGAAGGCATCTCAATAAATAGAGTCGAGCTCAACAACCTGCGGTATGCAAATGATACAGGTAATGGATTTTGACAAGAGCTATGGCCTTGTAAATAACAGGTAAACTTGTGTACTAAATCGGCATGACTCATAGCTCTTGTTAAAATCCATTACCTTTACAATAGTGTTTTCCAATACCATAGAAGGACTGTAAAACTTATTGAACAAAATAACGGAAACAAATAGAACATATGGACTGGATACACCAGCAAAACCAACCTAATGATCATCAGCAAGGAAAACAGAACCGAAGCAAATCTGTATATGAACCAATTGAGAATTGAATGTGTCTCACAGTACAACTCTTGGGAACTAAAATCAAGTTCCAGGGACAATACCCAAGAGATTAAATGTCACATCGGAAAGGCAAAAAGTGCATTCTTGACTATGAGCTCTGTGTTCAAGAGCCATGGCTTCACAGTAGAAATAAAAATAAGGCTCCTATGTTACGTGTACTCAGTGCTTCTGTACGTGGTAGAAACGTGGACATTGAAGGTGGCAACTCTATCAAAACTTCAGGTTTTGAGCTATGGTTATACAGAAAGAATCCTGAAGATACCATGGACAGACAAAGTCACCAATGAAGAAGTATTACGGAGGATTTGGTTAAAGAGTCGAAAGCTGCAGTACTTGGGACATATAATGAGAAATCAAGGCAGATATGAACTACTCCAATGCTTTTTGCAAGGTACAATTGAAGGATAAAGGGCTCCAGGACGAAGAAGAATATCCTGACTTGCTAACCTGAGAGCATGGTATAGAAAGATCTCAACACAGCTACTCCGTATAGCAACCAACAAAGTCATCATAGCCAGAATGATCATCAACGTTTGGAACGGACAGGCCCCTAAGAAGACGAAGAATGGAGACAAGAGGTCAGAATTACAGGCAGTCATTGAAGAAGAAATAAATTAAAAACATACAGACGATATCTTTAAAATATGGAAGATTAGGCAGATAAATTTTATGAAAACAGACGATATTTAACAAGAGATATAATAGTTGGTGGAATTATATTCCAATGCATGGTAAATTAGCCAAATCCAATTAGCAAAAATTCATAATTGGCTCGTCATTCCTTTGTGGTTTTTGGCCTGCTGGCATAGAAGTCGCCACTTCCGTCCATCGAAAGTTAGAATCTTAAGGCCTAGCTTCTACATCATTAATCAATTTTCTATGCGGTCCTCCTCTATTTTTTCTGTCCTTTAAGTTTGAGAGGGTCAATCCCTTTGTGTACTCATTATCTTAATCCTAGCGATGCGTCCAGCTCATGTTAGCCTGTGAACTCTAGTAAATTTCACTATATCTGGATCTGTGTATACTTAGTTGGTATAATTAATTTATACCAACAAGATAAGTTATATCTTCATTCACCATACGACGGCCATCGATGAAATAAAAACTGAATTACCAAAAAATGGACATAAGATTAGAAACGCGATGAATTGCATTAATAGAACAACGAAACAACCTTTAAATATATTCTTCGTCGACTTAGAACCAGCAGAAAACAACAAAGACATTTATAAACTGACAAATCTTCAAAATAGAGCTATACAAGTGGAACCTCCAAAAATAACAAAATGGATCACCCAATGCATGAGGTGTCAGCAATATGGCCACTCAAGATCATACTGCAACAGACTATTTGTGTGCGTCAAATGTGGTGGAGAACACAATACGTCAGCCTGCAAAAAAAGTAAAGATACCCCTGCTAGGTGTGCTTTATGTGATGGTGCCCATTCAGCCAACTACAAAGGATGCCAATTCTATCATAACTTACTCAAGCCAAACAATGCCAACAATCGGATGAATATTCAACAAAACGCTAACAATACAACAACTAGACCTACAATGCGTACAGCAACATCAGTGCCTCTAACCCATTACCCAAAACAATTGCTAGACAGCTATGCTAATGTAGTAAGAAACGGTACTGAACAACAATCGAAAATTAATGACATGATGAACAAATTCTTAGCTGAATTCAAAAACATGTTCCAACAATTACTACAACAAAACAGCATGGTCCTAAACATGCTGACGACGCTTATATCTAAAATTCAATAGCTTCATTAAAATGGCAGAGTGGAATGCCAACGGACTTCCAAAGCACAACAATGAGGTCGAGTTATTTCTACTACACAACTAATTCTGTTAATAAGTGAAAGCTATTTCACAAGTCAAACTTACTTCAATATATCCCACTACACAACCTATTCCTCAAACCACCCAGACAATACAGCCCACGCTGGATCAGCTATTCTGATAAAAAATACTATTAAACATGAAGAACTACCAAAGTATGCTGAAAATTGCTTGCAAGCTACAGTTATTAAAGTCAGTATGAGGTCTTACGAACTAACAGTCGCAGCAGTCTACTGTCCACCCCGATACAACTTAAAGAAAGAAGACGTCAAAAACTTCTTCGAAACTCTAGGACATACATTTATTGCAGGGGGAGACTTCAACAGCAAACATATATTACTTGGATCTCGCAACAACTAAAGGCAGAAGAACTAGTAAGCCTAATACAGGAAAACAACTACCACCCTTTGTCAACAGGCTCTCCTACATACTGGCCAACGGATCCAAACAAAACACCTGATCTGCTGGATATATTTATCACTCAGGGCATCTCTCCTGGTTACACGGAGGTCATGCCGAACTATGATCTCTCATCTGACCACACCCCAATTATAGCAACCATCAGCAGCTTTACAGTCTACAAAACGGCACACCAAGCTACACACTGGGAGAACTAACTGGAAAAAATACCGCAGCAAATTAGAAGAAGATATTAGTCTACAAGTAAGCCTCAAAACAACAAGAGAGATAGACGAAACATTAACGGCTTTAAACAACACTCTTATAGAGGCCGTACAAAATGCTACACCTGTGAACAATACAGGTAGCAAAGGCCAATACATCCCAGCTGAAATTAAAAGTTGGTAGCTAAAAAAGGAAAGCAAGGACCAAATAGCACCAAACCCATATCCCAGCAGACAAGACTACATTAAACAGGCTAAGCAATCAACTAAAATCCAAACTTATATAGGCACCAGAACTGTCATTTACAAACTACATAACAAATCTAAACCGGTGCGATAACTCAATATGGAAACAGATCAAAAACTCAAAAAACCCAAGACTCCGGTACCTCCAATTAGAAACGAACAGGAATCAACACCAGTGAGCCAGAAGTGATGAAGAAAAAACAACGCTATTTGCCGAGCACCTAGCTCAAGTATTTACTCCCAACAACGGCGTTCCAGATATTGAAATTGAAAGGGACATAAATAACATTCCAGAAAACATATCAGTAATCAGACCACTAACCAAAAATGAAGTTCAACAAGAAATCCAATATTTAAACATTAGAAAAGCTCCTGGGCTGGACAAAATAACACCCAAGATGATGAAGGAACTACCAGATAAAGGAATCATACTGATTACTCTCATCTCCAATGCTATTCTACGATTAAACTACTGGCCAAAGCTCTTTAAAACCGCTGAAATAATACTAATCCCAAAAGCAGGAAAAAATCCAAACGAGGTTTCATCATATAGGCCAATAAGCCTACTACCAGTAGTATCCAAAAACTTAGTTATATACTAATAAAAGTTAAATAAAATTAAAATATTAGGTTACTGTTACAAAAAATAAACTCAGACCCCAATACAGAGGAATGAATACCTACCCACCAATTTGGCTTTCGAAAAAAAAAACACTTGACAATACAGCAGGTTCATAGAGTAGTGCACATTATAAATTCTGCAATGGAAAGCAAACACTACTGCACAGATGCTTTTCTAGATGTTAGTCAAGCCCTTGATCAGGTTTGGCACACAGGCCTGAATTTCAAAATCAAAAAATATTTACCCATCACGTACCTGAAACTATTAAAATCGTATCTGAGTGGGAGAGAATTCCGAACAAGAGTGAATGAAAGTAATTCTAATAATTTTCCTATAAAATCTGGTGTTCCACAGGTCAGCGTTCTTGGACCAATATTATATGTGCTATACACAGCAGATCTACCCTCCACTAATGACACCATTACTGGCACGTTTGCAGATGATGCTGTCATCTAACATTCTACAAGTACAACTGAATGAAATCGAGACATGGTCTTAACGTGGAGAATTAAAATTAATGAGATAAAATCAGTCCAAGTGACTTTTACCTTGAGAAGAGACCCGTGCCCCCAGTTTCACTTAACAACATCTAACTTTCCCAATCCTCTAGCACTAAATACCTAGGAATACATCTTAACTCAAAACTCACCTGGAAAGAACATATTCTTAAGGAGCGGAAACAAATTGACCTAACAATGAAAGATCTAAACTGGTTAGTAGGCAG